GAAAATGTATTAAAAAATCTATACATATTAAAATGATTGGAAACTTGGATTACCTTCTTAGTTTACTTGTATCATGAATTGTATTATGTTTCCCCAAAAATCACATAACCTTTATTTAGATGGGTCATTTAGCGTTTTGGCAGAGGAATGCCTTAGACAAAAAGCCCTCCGTCTGACAGTGATTACGGCCAATGTGGAGCTGCTTTGTTAGCAGACAGAGTCCGGGGTTTGTATGGATGACATTAATAAGGGCAGGCACGCTTCATTCTCCAGGTGTTCTCTGCAAACAGATTGTGTATAATCAAGTTCCATTCTTCCCTGTCTGAAGTCATTTAAATGATAAAGACCACTGCTTTCTCTTAGTCAGGAAGATTATGATTTGAGCCTGTATTAAAACTGTCAAGCTCAGGGCTCCAATTCCAGATGGGTGGACAAGGTGAAGCTTCAGTAAATATATTGCCGCATAAATGGTCAGCTCGAGTATGTCAAAAATTTCAACTATGCATGTTGTCATGGAGAAGGATGTCAACTGCACAGATTAATAAATGATTTTCTTACAGCACAACAGAACTAGATCAAGGTACATGTAATTTCCAATGTTAAAAACAAACAAAACACTAAAACTAAAACTAAATGTAGGCACAAAGTTATGTAAACATTCTACAAACAAATTGTACACACATTTTAAATAAACATTATAACATACAATATGAAAGATGGATAAATATTTCTATTTAAACTGCTATAGAACCAACTATGTTATCTGAATAAGTAAAAAAAGTGATAATGAAAAAAAAAAAAAAGTTTTTCCCATGTTCAAGAGTTTACTGTGCATTTCAAATGTCATGCTTTTTTCAAGAAAACAATTAACTGAGTGCTCTTAAAGGGATAGTTCACCCAATAATGAAAATTCTGTCATCATTTCCTTCCCCCATATCGTTCCAAACCTGTATGACCTTCTCTTTCTTTTATGTATGTATTTATTTTTAATTTAATTTATTTATTTTCTAAACATGAAAGAAGGCATTTTGAACAACAATTGTGGACAAAAAAAGTTGTTTTGAAGAAGAAAGTAAGTCATAAAGTTTAAAAATGACACAAGGTTGAGTAAATGACAGTATTTCCATTTTTGACTATCCCTTAAGAATTTATCAAATCTCCAATATCATCGTGCACCAATTAATAAATGTAAAAAAAATGTGGTGTCAATATAATATATATATATATATTAATTAATAATATATATATATTATAAAAAATTTTATGAAGCCAGTCAATGGAAGACCTAGTATGGAGCCATAAATCAACATCTAAGTTGAACTTGAGATAAAAATAGGCCAATCTGTGCTTTACAAGGAACTTTTTTTTTCTGACACTAGTCAAATATGTTAGAATCATCAGAAAACATATGAATGTCAACAAAACATGTTGATTTTGATCATAGATTTCAGACATTTGCAGTTTGGAATGTCTCTTGAAAAATAGTTTGATGATAAGTATAACAGTGGATGTAAAACACAGGGACTGCACCTGAACTGATGAAATTGACACAGTTTGAGCTGTGTGTAAAGGTCTTTTCTTGTTAAGATAAGGCCTAAAGTTACTCCCAAATACAGCCAGCTTCACACAGGGACCTCTGACTGTTTTCTCTGAATAGAGAGGCAAGACATCATACATCACTTCCCAGGGAAAGCTCACCTGGAAGGTCCTGACACTAAACCCCCTGGGTGTTCTATGTGATGTGCTTGGTAAGTCCATTTCCAGAGAAGCCCACGGGGCATTTCAAGACCATCATCTCGAATGTATGTGTTCACTGTAAACAGCCTGTCCAAAGTAATCTCATGCTTTGGAATGCACACGAATTTATGGACTTGGATGTGAAGTGTACAGTCAGTTTGAACAGAAACATGCTTTTGTTGTTTCTCCTCCACCCTTGTGGATTGTGGCGCTCAATTTAAAGGAACAGTTCATCTGAAAACGAAAATCCTGTCATTATTTATGAATGTATTTATTTCTTCCGTGAAACAAAAGTAATTCTTATATAACTTATATTAAGTATATTAACATATATAATATATATATATATAACTTATATTAAGTATATAACAACTTCAATTTTTGTCTATTCAGCTTCAGAAAACCGATATGAGCCACTTTACTGGTGCTTTTTGAAGGCTGACAGCCCAGTTGTCAATCACTTTCATTTAATTGAAATCACGGCCAGGATATTCTTCAGAAATTCACCTTTTGTGTTACCCAGAAAAAAAAAAGCAATCCATACAGGTTTGGAATGACATGAGGGTGAATAATGATGACATCATTTTCATTTTTGGGTGAAATACTCATTTAAAGGCCAGTACAAATCTTTGATGTCTCATGGCAGGCACGGTCTACAGCAGATGTACTTTAGAGACTAATTCACTGTTAAGACCCTCTGAGGTCTTAGTTTGTTAGGAGGTGAGGGTGGAGGTTAGCAGGACATGGCCTATACTGGCATTCGCTGCGCTCTCTCATCTGACTCATTTATCTGACAGCTGTAGCTGTTGCACTCAATGCCGCAGTGTTTTCTTAGCTGAATTACAGCAGATGTCACCCCGGCAGTTACATGTCAAACAGTCGAGACACCTTCAATTTTCATAGCCAGCCATGATGAAACCTGACCCGTGACATTGCAATGCATGTCCTCTGACCAAGTCGGTGTTCCAACTTTGACTAGGCCTAACAAGCGACGGGACTCTTCAGAGAAAAAGTAGACTGATACATTGTGCATGCAAGCATGCAGATAATGTTGCAGTCTGTTCGAAGTCTGTCTAAATAGCTAATGAGATGACACCATATTCTGGTAGTTGTTTACAAGGTTTATTAGTTTACAAGGTCTGCAAAGTTTCAGTAAAGGTTTATGGCTTTGAATCTTCCTTCAGCAGCAGAAACATGACTTAAAAAAATGGTGATAGGTCGACAAATTGGCTGATATTTGACATTGACATCATTGTGAATATAGAAACGACAACAGTTTTTTGCATTTTGAGCAACTATTGCAGAATATCTGTTTTTACATTTGTAAACCGTGGGTTTATGTTCTTATTTGCTTATTTATGAGGTCAATAACATTGACTGGACAAATACAGATTTAAACAGGTTTGTCCATCTGTGAAATGTCACGTAAATCGGCTCTGGCTGTTCCAAGTCTCCAAAAACTACTACTTGAATAAACAATAGAATCTTTTCTTCGCTCCAGTTAACGCGTTTTCCAATTCATTTATCTCAGACGCAGAAACTAAACAGTGAATGAACGTTTATTTGACAGTACAGAGCTCATGCATATTTAATCAGCTAGGCAATGCCAATGACACGAAACAACGTGCTTCTATCACCGTATGGTTTCACTGAAAACACGCACTTGAGTAGGGCTTCATAAAAACCCTAAAAACACCATTTCAAAATGAAATGTACTAAGCCAGAATGTTAAAAAGAATGTTAAGTACAGTGAGAAACCCCCCGCCCCCTACAGAGAACACCCTGAGCTAAGACAAACGATTGACAGCACCATTAACTGAACCAAGGTGATGCGAGTAATACGCATCCTGAGAAGCAAAGCCTCATGACTGAAGGTCTTGGCGCACGTCGCTCATCGGTCCGATGTCAAATACTGGTAGAGGCGCAAGTGAAGTTGCATAGCAGACATTCCGATGAAAAACCAACAAGCCTCGGCGGAAAGAGCGAGGCTGGCACCACGTCCAAAAACAGCACGGAATCCGTTAGCCATACCCCAAAGAAACGGAAAACCGACATGCTGCAAACACATTAACGAGCTTGCCTCTCTTTCACTCCAAACGACCGTCATGTATGAAGAAATGTGTTATTGTGTACTAGACAGGACCATCACTTTTCTCTCCATAATGGCTTTACAATCACATAACGATATCTAATGAGAGTTGATAATGGTTCATTTCTAGTCAAATTAGATGTAATCGTGACTAATGTTCAGGAGTTTTTCTTCTCTCAAAGCTAAGCTACCGTACTGTTAACCATGTTAACATCTTAATGAACAACTCATTGAATCGCTGATTTAGTATTATTTACACTATTTTATTTTCCTTTCCATATGGACAGATACTGTGGCAAGCCGCTTTAACATTTTGTCCCCCAAAGCTAACAACTATCTATTTTATGTTACAAGTAGCCCTACCTATTAAGTAAATACTCCAATAGTGACAAGTAAACATGTTCAGTTTCACTAGTATATAAGATCTACTATAATAGCAATAGAGGCAAGTAACAATTTCATTGCTACTGGTAATTGTTTTCTATAGGGATCTGTGGTTAGATATTATTCATATCCAACTAGTGTGTATTCCACTGTTGCTGGTTATCAACTTTTTATTAAATGTTATTAGTAACTATTAATTAGGTGATAGAACATTTATTCTAACTGGTTACAACTAGAATACACAGTTGGAATTACATTGTAATCTTACTAGTAAGAATTGTAACTAGTGGGATAAATGTTACTGGTGAGTAATTGGGATATATTCTGGTGTAACACAAATAGGTACTAGCATCTAATAAATAATAACTGGTAAAGCCTGAATATCTGCTAGGTAACTATAAATTATTCTACTACTAATATTGAATAGAAGAGGTTCATATCTGACCCAAACATTTCCAGAATTCAGAGCTAAATATTTGTTATTTGCCACTATTGTGATATGACTAGCACTAATATGAAATAGCCTAATTTCTAGGTCTTGAATTTAGTTGACTAGATAATGTTTGAATACATATTCTTACATCTAATTAAAATAACTAAATGATTAGTTAGCTTTATGAAATAAAGTGTTAAAATGGCTTGCCAGAATACATCCGCTTTGGTTTCCCCAGTAAATAAAGACGGAGGCAGAAATGATGCGATTTATTTACTTTCACCATCATTAGGCGCGATGAAAGCAATGAACACAGACGACAACTTTTCAAAGAGTAAATGAAATGTGTATACAGACCTTCACAAACTCCAACCTCGTACTGCGTGATGGAGCCGCCGTTTAACGGGGGTCTGATCACGCACCGGAGTCCGCGGTCGCAGGTCCCGTACAGACCGTAAACGCCGCCGCAGCTCTCGTTCTTCTGCTTGGCACAAACCGAGCAGCAGCCGCAGATCCCCAACACCACGGTACCCGTACAGTGCTTGGGCTCCTCGCATTTGGACTTATCACAGGGCAAACAAATGAGCGCCCGACTGTTCTTCGCGATCAACCCCACAAGTTGGAAAATCAGCATGCATTTCATAAGAAGATACATCCTGGATGAGGCCATGAAGGAAAAGTGAAAAATATAGATATCCAAACCACCCCCCTGTCCCCCAAACTACACGACGAGGAACGGATCCTCCAGCCAAACCAACAAATAACAGAAGAAAACAGCGACTCTGGGCTGGTGAGCGCGAGAAATGTTCCGCTCAGAAAGACGCGTTTTCTTGTCGAACAGAATAATATGGCGTTCCTGGTGTCAAACTTTTGTTGCAGAAAGCCAACAAAAAGGCATCCCCTTCAAACGAAAGACACCAGAAGAACTATCCCACGCTGTATAACCAGTGCATGGCTTATGCGTCACGATTTCGGCACTGTTCCGTCCAGTTTGTTTTCGCGTAGGAAAACTTTCCTCACGCGTCTCTTCCTTGGAGTCTTTCGTATGCAAGCCTGTCCTGCGCCTATAAAGCCAACGCGCGGTGTTTTTCAGTAGTTCCCAGTCGGAGGAAACGTGGTCCTGTTATTTTTTTGTTGCCAGCAGAGATTCATTCAGCTGTGTGAATAAATGTTTCCAGCTATCGCGTCCGTCTCTTGTCTACCGCTTGCGCTCGCTGCTGAGCGTTCGGCTCCCTCGCCGTGACCTCATAACGGAACCACTCCCATCTCGCATTACTTTGCTCCATTGGAGAGTTCGTTCGTTCCAGATATGAGACACAGGAAATGCTGGTAACACGACACGCTCAAACGCAGGAGTCTGTGGTGAAGGTGCACCGCGTGTGGAATGTGGGGCCCGTATAACTTTGAAAGAATCTCGAGTTTGTGTGGCTGCGCACCTTTAGTACGATTTTGTAAAAAGGATTGTTATGTCTTGCTTTGCCCATACATTGTTTCCCAAAAAAACAATGTTTTATTTACATAGTATTTATATTTACACACGATTTCAGCGAGACAGCCATGTTAAAACAAATAAACATAAATATGATGTTTTGTCATAAAATATGACCAGAGATCATAATCTGGAGCCAAGGTTTAAAATAATTCTTAATGGTCTTATATTGTGAGTTTTGGACAAACCCACTGCTATTTTGCCCATTGCAATTTTTGCTACCGACAACAACAAAAAACAAGTGCAAAAATGTACCTTCAGGGGTACAACAGCCTGTCCCTGGGGCAGTACTCTCAAATGGATGTTTTTGTACCTTCTTTACCCCTACAGGGTTCATAATAGTATCATAAGAGTATATATTACTACCTTAAGGGTATAGACTATTACTACTCTACTGTACTAATACACAACCTTTAGGGATAAAGAAGGTACAAAGGTGTCCCTTTGAGAGTACTGTCCTATAGACAAGCTGCTGGTAACACGACACGCTCAAACGCAGGAGTCTGTGGTGAAGGTGCACCGCGTGTGGAATGTGGGGCCCGTATAACTTTGAAAGAATCTCGAGTTTGTGTGGCTGCGCACCTTTAGTACGATTTTGTAAAAAGGATTGTTATGTCTTGCTTTGCCCATACATTGTTTCCCAAAAAAACAATGTTTTATTTACATAGTATTTATATTTACACACGATTTCAGCGAGACAGCCATGTTAAAACAAATCTTCACATACACATAAATATGATGTTTTGTCATAAAATATGACCAGAGATCATAAACTGGAGCCAAGGTTTAAAATAATTCTTAATGGTCTTATATTGTGAGTTTTGGACAAACCCACTGCTATTTTGCCCATTGCAATTTTTGCTACCGACAACAACAAAAAACAAGTGCAAAAATGTACCTTCAGGGGTACAACAGCCTGTCCCTGGGGCAGTACTCTCAAATGGATATTTTTGTACCTTCTTTACCCCTACAGGGTTCATAATAGTATCATAAGAGTATATATTACTACCTTAAGGGTATAGACTATTACTACTCTACTGTACTAATACACAACCTTTAGGGATAAAGAAGGTACAAAGGTGTCCCTTTGAGAGTACTGTCCTATAGACAAGCTGTTGTAACTGTAATGGTACAATTTTTGCACATTTTTGTTTTTTTTCGCCTCGCAGTGTACATGTGTAGTGGCCAGTGAACTCACTCATTGACTCATTGAACACTGGGCAGCTGAATGTACTGTAAGTGTCCAAAAACCTGCACATTTATACCAGAAACAAGCATTAACAATATTATGTAATTTGTCGTTTTTATACATATGGTTAAGTGAACATTTAAAGTCAACATGAACACAAAGCATCCTTATATACTTTCATTAATATTACACGTTCCTGGTCGTATTGTGAACGAATCATGAGTGTATATTATTCCCAAAAAAAGTGTTTCATCATAATCTTTCACCAAAATATAATAGCTTGCTCTTTGTCAGTTTTTTTCTTGTAAATGTTTAAATGTTAAAACGTTAATGTTTATTTTAAAATATAAAACTGAATCTTAATGCTTAAAAAAAGCATTAAACACATTAGAATTAATTTAATGATCAATCTTACACTACTTTTTTTAAGGCAATAAAGTAAAATACTTTAGATTTATTTTTGATCAGCTCTGTATTTTTCTACATTTTTTAATTCAGCCTCAAACAGAAATTACAGTCATCTTTTATATTATGATGTATGTTCCAAGTGAAACAGCTTCTTGAACAAGAAAAAATGTAGGGTGGGACTCTTGGGGTATTTTGTCCACCGGGAATTTATTGGATCATTTGCTGATCTCATGTGAGTGACAGGTTGCTGGAGGGGATGAATTATCGGCAGATGTACACAACATCAGAGAAGACGTGTCTTTGTGAGGGGGAGGAGGGGACATTAATGTTTTTGTCTCATATCTGGAACGAACGAAGGAACTCTCCAATGGAGCAAAGTAATGCGAGATGGGAGTGGTTCCGTTATGAGGTCACGGTGAGGGACTGAGCTGAACGCTCAGCAGCGAGCGCAAGCGGTAGACACGAGACGGACGCGATAGCTGGAAACATTTATTCACACAGCTGAATGAATCTCTGCTGGCATCAAAAAAATAACAGGACCGCGTTTCCTTCGACAGGGAACTACTGAAAAACACCGCGCGTTGGCTTTATAGACGCAGGACAGGCTTGCATACAAAAGACTCCAAGGAAGAGGCGCGTGAGGAAAGTTTTCCTACGCGAAAACAAACTGGACAGTGCAGAAATCGTGACGCATAAGCCATGCACTGGTTGTACAGCGTGGGATAGTTCTTCTGGTGCCGTTCGTTTGAAGGGGATGCCTTTTTGGTGGCTTTCTTCAACAAAACTTTGACGCCAGGAACGCCGTATTATTCTGTTCGACCAGAAAACGCGTCTTTCTGAACGGAACATCTCTCGCGCTCGTCCAGAGTCGCTGTTTTCTTGATATTTGTTGGTTTGGCTGGAGGATCCGTTCCTCATCGTGTAGTTTGGGGGACAGGGGGTGGGGTTGGATATCTATATTTTTCACTTTTCCTTCATGGCCTCCTCCAGGATGTATCTTCTTATGAAATGCATGCTGATTTTCCAACTTGTGGTGTTGATCGCGAAGAACAGTCGGGCGCTCATTTGTTTGCCCTGTGATAAGTCCAAATGCGAGGAGCCCAAGCACTGTACGGGTACCGTGGTGTTGGGGATCTGCGGCTGCTGCTCGGTTTGTGCCAAGCAGAAGAACGAGAGCTGCGGCGGCGTTTACGGTCTGTACGGGACCTGCGACCGCGGACTCCGGTGCGTGATCAGACCCCCGTTAAACGGCGGCTCCATCACGCAGTACGAGGTTGGAGTTTGTGAAGGTCTGTATACACAGTTAATTTACTCTTTGAAAAGTTGTCATCCATGTTCTTTGCTTCAATCGTGAAAAGAATTAAATAAATCACATCACTTCTGCCTCCGTCTGTATTTATTGGGGAAACTAAACCAAAGCGGATGTGTTCTGGCAAGCCATTTTAACACTTTATTTCATACAGCTGACTAATCATTTAGTTGTTTTTACTTATTTTTAAATAGATGTCAGAATATGTATTCAAATAGTAGGCTATCTAGTAATCTAAATTCAGGACCTAGTAATTATTTCATATTAGTGTTAATCATATCCCAATAGTAACAAGTAGGCTTAAGTATTCTATTTTTACTGCTAACAAATTACAAATATTTCTCAGAATTTTGGAAATCGGTGGTTCAGATATGAATTATTCACTTCTATTTACATTGGTGGTTGCTAGTAGTAGTAGTAGTAGAATCTATTATAGTTACTAGCATACATTCAAGCTTGACTAGATCTTATGTATTGGATACTATATGTTTGTGTAACACCAGAATATATCCCAGTTTGTTATCATTTATCCCAGTAGTTACAATTCTTACTAGTCAGATTACAATGGAATTCCAGCTGTGTATTCCAATTGTAACTAGTTACAATGAACATTATATCATGTAATAGATCATTACTAATAATACATAGTAATAAAGTTGATAATCAGTAACAGTGGAATAGCCTACATCAGGGGTAGGCAAGATCAGTCCTAAAGAGCCGCAGTCCTGCAGAGTTCAGCTCCAACCCTAATCAGACACACCTGAACAAGCTAATCAATGTCTTCAGGATTGCTAAGGCTATAGGCAGGTGAGTTTTTTTTTCAGGGTTGGAGCTGAACTCTGCAGGACTGCGGCTCTTTAGGACTGATCTTGCCTACCCCTGATGTAGGCTATTCCACTGTTACTGATTATCAACTTTATTACTATGTATTATTAGTAATGATCTATTACATGATATAATGTTCATTGTAACTAGTTACAATTGGAATACACAGCTGGAATTCCATTGTAATCTGACTAGTAAGAATTGTAACTACTGGGATAAATGATAACAAACTGGGATATATTCTGGTGTTACACAAACATATAGTATCCAATACATAAGATCTAGTCAAGCTTGAATGTATGCTAGTAACTATAATAGATTCTACTACTACTACTACTAGCAACCACCAATGTAAATAGAAGTGAATAATTCATATCTGAACCACCGATTTCCAAAATTCTGAGAAATATTTGTAATTTGTTAGCAGTAAAAATAGAATACTTAAGCCTACTTGTTACTATTGGGATATGATTAACACTAATATGAAATAATTACTAGGTCCTGAATTTAGATTACTAGATAGCCTACTATTTGAATACATATTCTGACATCTATTTAAAAATAAGTAAAAACAACTAAATGATTAGTCAGCTGTATGAAATAAAGTGTTAAAATGGCTTGCCAGAACACATCCGCTTTGGTTTAGTTTCCCCAATAAATACAGACGGAGGCAGAAGTGATGTGATTTATTTAATTCTTTTCACGATTGAAGCAAAGAACATGGATGACAACTTTTCAAAGAGTAAATTAACTGTGTATACAGACCTTCACAAACTCCAACCTCGTACTGCGTGATGGAGCCGCCGTTTAACGGGGGTCTGATCACGCACCGGAGTCCGCGGTCGCAGGTCCCGTACAGACCGTAAACGCCGCCGCAGCTCTCGTTCTTCTGCTTGGCACAAACCGAGCAGCAGCCGCAGATCCCCAACACCACGGAGCCCGTACAGTGCTTGGGCTCCTCGCATTTGGACTTATCACAGGGCAAACAAATGAGCGCCCGAC